TTCCAATCTGGATTGAGTGCCGTAATTTCTTCTTTTCTGTTAAAGTTGTTTTGGTGTTTAAATATTTCGATGGCCTCCCTGGTGAGTGTCGGGTAGTATCTTTCAGATTGGTGCAGAATGTCCACTTCAATACACTTCGACGAACAAATACGCTTCGACGAAGTGGACTCACCCCGGCTCACTCATGGGCGAGCACTAAAGATTAGAAGCCTTAACTGGCTAAGTCTAAAAAACGTTCAACACACGATAGTTGAACCAGTCTTAGTCGGAAAGCACGGGAGATCAGTTCGCCCACTGCCTTATCGCCTTTGATAATGTCCACCGCAGTTGTGGACAAAACGTCAGGAAGAAATTCCCATAGACCACGGCTTCAAAGCCCGGAAAACATTCCCAAATGTGATTAAATGAATGGTTCGATTATGCGTTGATTTCTGCAGATAACGGCGATAATTTAATATAGCATATTAACACACAAGCAACAATAATTTCGTCGTCTGAATCCATTTCATCAACAAACATTCTTATGAGGGGATTAAATAACCTCTATAACCGAGCAATATAACCTAGCTTTACTATTACGTCTTACTTATCAATTTGCTTTTCTTTCTTACGTTTTGCGAATTACCTCTTACGTCTTACGGCTTGCGATTTGCGGTACGGCGACTATAAATCCAGCTTAAGTCTTCCTTAAATGTTTGGTGCAAGTGGGTATCAGCTCCCTCTCTATTGGGCTAATAGGCTCGAAACCGGTCCTGGGGTTGCCCGAGCAAAAGCAAAAAGCTCATGACGGCTCTGCCGATGCCGAAACCTTTTCATTGTTCACAATTTATTTCACTTTTTGATCAATGTTTGCGACACCTACTGATTGACTTTAAATTATTTTCAGATCAATGGCTTGAGATATTTTCAACCAGGTGCCCCAACATAAGAACACACTAGCCTCTAAACTGCTGCATAAGTTTAGTATTATTTCACACACAGGTGATAAGATGCAATATTACTTGAATTAAAGGAAATTAACAACCAATTTAGTGCTAATAAAAGTGTGTGCCAATGCTAAAGCTGTATACCTAGAGTTACGTAATCTATAGTGCCCTATTTTTGAAATAAATAAGAAATGTTATGTTTGTGACTTTAGTAGATCGCAGTTCATTGTTAACCCTTAGGCTAGTTAATATTTCTTTGGGATTTGATGGGGGTATTTTATTCGTTTTTTTTTATTACTATAGTTTTATATGTATGTTTTAGAATATTATCAACATTTGCAATCGACAACTTTTGGCTACTTTTTTTTTTTTAATTATGCAGTCTTTTGTTTCGATGTTTTCTAGTAATTAAGGCTGTTTTTCATTAGTAAAATATCAGCGCTTAGGGAGTTGATTTAAGATTGTCTTTTATTAGTAACTTTTCTTTATGATTAACCAGATATTTTCTTCTATGTAAATAAGTAAATTAAGTTTATTTTAGCACGCGTTTAAACTTAGTCTTTTAAAGGCCCTGAAGCAATCAAATCGACTGGACAATCGTTACAGTTGTCCTGCATCCTGTTTATGACAATTTTCTTCGATCTGGAGCTTTTAAAAGGCGCTGTATATACACGCAGCATCTGATTTAATTAATAAAAGTGATAGTGATTTGCATAATTGAAGAATTTAACGATTTGAAAAGCAAAAATGTTAAAGTATATATTTTGATAGTTGAGCAAAATGCAATGACCAAATAATGTTTATAAACTATTTTACCATTAGAATGAATATTATATTAACTCATCTTCTATTAGTTGATGTCGCGAAACGACGGAATTCTGATGATGTGTACTAAAACATTAAAATGCATTGAATATTTTATAGACTAAACATGCCTGTAATTATCTATTGAAACTAATAAATTGTCATTACATTTTGCGTTCAATTACTACATAGAAGGCTTCATACTTGGTTTGACCAGCACATTTCAGGTTGCATTTTCGTAGGGGACTTCCCTATCAACCAGCGGAAAGTTTTGAGGTTGATAGTAGTGCCAGATAGTACCATGTAGCGGTGATGAATAGAAACTTCACACTCAGCGTTACAATGGATATGGAAGGCGCAGTTGTAGGAGCCTCAACGAAACTCCGGTGCATGTCCAAGAGTCTTTCCATCTTTTGGGAGGTCTGTGCAGTGATAGGCGTGTCAGTGGAAACCCGTCTCGAGCAATTTTTGCTACCCTGTCCATATTCATTCTAGTGACGTGGTCATTCCAGGCTCTACTACGCTTCCGTCCCCATCTGACTATGTCCTCTATCTCGCACTCGTTTCTTATGTCCTTGTTCCTTTTCCTGTCTTTTAGGGTGTATCCTGCTATATTCCTCAGTATTTTCATTTCAGTTGTTCGCAGGATATTTTTGGTTCGACTGGTGCCTGCTCGGGTTTCTGTAGCGTATTTAAGTACCGGTCGTACGCAAGTTTTGTTGATCTTAGTTTTAGCCTGTTTCCCCATGTGTTTGTTATTCCATACTACGTCTCGTAGAGCACCTGCTGTCCTGCTAGCCTTGTTTGCTTGGACCCTTACTTCATTGTCTCTATTTTGACTGGAGGTTATTTGCACTCCCAGGTAGTTAAACTCCATTATCTGCTCTACTAAATTATTATCGAGTGCGAATTTACATCTGACGGGCTCTTTAGCGATTACGAGTGTTTTTGTTTTGGTAGTGGATATTTGCATGTTGTAGGACTTAGCTTTGACATAGAATGGGTGCAAGAGTCTTTGAAGGTCATCCTCGCTTCCATATATGATCACAGCGTCCTCGGCATAGCAAATAATTTTAATTTCGCTAGTTGTAAGTCTGTACCCTCTGCCCCAGTTTTTGACTTTACTAATTATTTCATTTATTATGATGTTAAACAGCTGAGGGCTTAGCGAATCTCCCTGTCTAATTCCCGATGGCGTTGGAAATTCCTCTGTCAGTTTTTGGTTCATTAAGCTGTAAGTCGATGTGTTGACGTTTAACTGTTTGATAGTTCTTATAATAGCTTGAGGTATGTGTTTCCTCCTTAATATGTTGATAACCTCAAACAGTTTTACTCGATGCACCATGCTAAACCTGGCGTCAGGACTTGAGGAGTCTAGTCGCTCAAAACACGTCATATTACTTAAAAAAGTTTCTTCTTCTGACAACCACTGGAAAAGAAGTTGTGGTGACTCTCATTGTACCTCTGAAGCTGAACCGTCCTCTCCGAAACMACATGGGATCTGTAGGTGCTGAGATCCGCCTGCACCTCTGCACCTCCAATCCCATACGCACTGTGGAAATCGGTGTACAAACCGTGCAAAGCGTCTTTCCGAATAGGTAGGCCCTCAGATGCTAGGAATACTTTAATGCTGGTAGTGGTGAATCCTTCGTAGCAAACTGAGGCAGGTTGGTCATGCAGGTAGGCAAGGTATAATCTTATGGCCCTCAGGATGGAAGGTTCTCTGAGCCTCGCTATTAGGTAACGTCTCCCCGAGTCCTTGGAGCGGTCAGAGGCCACCGTCATTTTGACGATTGGATGAGTCGATGGGTCCAGAGAGGGAGCTCAATCTCGAGGCATCCCTTCAGGCAGTTTTACATTGGCAAAGCTGTTGGTCCTGCAAGCAGCGTGAGCCTGTTTATCAGACGTTATCGTTATCACACTGGGTGGTCTGCTATCACCATCATCCGCGGGGGCGGCAGCCAATAAACCCTCCAAGCCCGGACCGACGCTCACCCTTGCCCCACCGGTGGGAAGCCGACGGTCCTCCACAACCCTCCGAGAAACAGCGGACTCTGTCGACCACTCAACCCGCAGTCCGCGAGGCCACATGCTGTGCCCCAACAATCTCTCAGCCGACTCTCTAGTCAAGGTCTCCACTTTGAATGTGGATTCCTCGGAGTCTTTGTCCCGGCTGAATACACGGAAGCATCGGACAAAATCCAACGACTTCAGGCCTTCCTTTACGTGGTGGACAACATTGGTGGCAGTAAATCCAACCGGGAGATGCCTAACGACCACATAGTGCCATTTTGGGGCACTGCCACCAACTAGGGAGTCCGTATTTCCCGGAGAGTTTGAAACCCCAGGAGGCAAACCAGATTGGGTGGACGATGAAACGAGAGCAGCCGACCCTTCGTGAGATCGATGAAGCACATAACTTAATTATTTCCGTACTCACTCACAAAGTTTTTCTTTTGCCTATAGCTTCAGTGGCTGCATTTGTGATATTTGTCTTTACTTTATACCAACACTTTTCTACGTCATCTTGCTCTGTGATGTAGTTAATTTCAATTTTTTGAGATAGGATAGATAGGTATTCTTGCTCGGAGCTTACACAGCACTAAGAAATAGTCAGAACCCATGTTGGGGGAAGTTAGACTTCTGGTGTCTAATACTTGAGTTGGGTGTATGGCTCTGTTTGATATGATATAGTCTATTGTGGAGCTCTGTCCTCGAGAATTTTTCCAGATGATTTTGTGTTGCGGTTTATGTCTGAAGAAGCTGTTGTTTATTCTCATATTGTGGCGGATGCAGAAGTCTATTAATGCTTCACCATTTTCGTGAAGATCACCATCATCATCATCTGTGGCTTCACAACCCTGGGTGGGTTTTTGCCAACTCAAGGTTTTTTGCAATATTATCTCTCCATCTGAGGCTAGGTCGACCTAATGGACGTTTTACGTTTTACCTCCTCCCACACCAGTTTCACCATTCTATCATCTGGCATTCTTTTTACGTGTTCTGCCCGCTGTAGTCTCCTGGCCTTTATTTCGTTTATTATGCCGGTATCAGTGTGGAGTTCTTTGAGTTCTTGGTTGGTTATTTTTCTTAGCACTTTCCTTTCAAAGACCTTAAGTCGGTCTTCGCTTGCAACCGTTAGGGTCCAGGCCTCGCATCCATATATTACGACAGGCCTTATAATTGCTTTGTATATGTTCAGCTTAGATTTTTTGGTAAGTATTCTAGATTTTATTAGGTTTTGAAGAGCCAAGGGACATCTGTTTGCAGCCTGTATCCTGTTATTTATCTCTTCTGTGATTTTGTTGTTTTCACTAATACTTGTACCCAGACATTTAAACTGTCTTGTCCGCTCAAAGTTGTAGTCTCCAATAGAGAAGTTTTGTCCGACTCTATCTCGGTTGCGATTATTTCTACTGAGGTACATATACTTGGTCTTGTTCTCATTTATCTTGTTCTCATTTGTTTTCAGCTTTCTTTTCAAACTTTATGAAGGACTCTTTGAGGTACATCTTGCTATTGCCAATCACATCGACATCGTCTGCAAAAGCCAGGAGTAAGTTTGGTCCCTCTTGATGAAAGATAGCAGTTGGCTTCTCGATTTTGGAATTCCTAATTACATATTCCAATGCTATGTTAAAGAGCTGAGGTGAGAGGGTCACCTTGTTTGAGACCATTACTGATACTGAAGGAGTCGGAGAGACTCTGTCCCACTCTTACCTTACATCGCGTATCCTCCACATATACTTTTGCTAGCGATATAAGCTTTTTTGGGAATCCAATTTATTGCATTGATTGCCACAACTTTGATCTACATACTCTGTCGAATGCCTGTTCGAAATCAATAAACATTTGATGGTGTTTTCTGTTGAGTTCCCAGCATTCTCCGTTATTTGTCTAATGGTAAAAATCTGATATACGGTGGACCTATTTGATCTAAAACCACATTAGTAGTCCACAACAATCTCTTCGGCATATGGTTTCATTCTTTCTAGCAGGATATTGGAGAGCATCTTATAGCATGTGTTCAGAAGAGTTATTCCACAATAGTTTGTGCATTTACTTTTGTCTCCTTTTTTATGTATATGGACGATTGCGCCTTCTTTCCACTCATCCGACAGGGCCTCTGTCCTCGAGATGATTTGTATAAGTTTATGTATGGCCTTATGGAGTGTTTCTCCGCCAGATCTTATGCATTCGGCAGGTATGCCGTCGCTGCCTGAAGCTTTGTTATTTTTCAATTTCTTTATTGCCTTCACTGTTTCTTCGTACGACGTTGGCGGTGTTTCTATCTCGGCTGTTCGTTTATTTGTTGGTGGCGTATTTGCATTTTCTTCATCATTGAGCAGTTCACAGACCTATTTCTTCCAGGTATTTAGAGTCTCCTTTTCGTTGGTTATGAGTGCTCCATTATTTTTTGTGAAAAAATTTCTTCTTAGGGTTAGTATCCTGCTTTCTGCTTTGAGATTTCGCTAAAACACTCTTTTGTTCTGTTTTTCTTCTATGTCCCTTCTAATTACTGATAGCTGGTATTTCCTCTTTTTTCGTTTCATAATTCTGCGAGCTGCTGTTCTTTGATGTCTATATACTTCTATATTAGGTGCTGTTCGATGTTGTAGCATTTTTTCCCTAGCGAGGTTCCGTGCTTTAAGTGTCCTCTTGCAGTCATCATCGAACCATTTCCTTCGCCGGTTTTTCTTTTTTTCAAGTGCGTGTTTGGATACGGTGGTTATTGCTTCTTTAATGTTAGCCCATAATTCCTTTATGCTGTTTTTGTCTTGAGGCTCCTTTATTTTCTCATTTATTTGTTCTTGGTACATTGCTTGCGTCTCTTCCGTTCTTAGTTTTCCCGTATCCCAAATTGTTCTGGTCTCTTTCTTAGGCGTTGAGCAAGTGGAGATTCTCATTCTAATCTTTGCCCTTACTAGGAAGTGGTCCGTATCTGCGTCTGGTCCTCTGAAGCTTCTGACGTCCAAGCAGTTACTACCATGTCTTCTATCTATTATGACGTGGTCGATTTGGTTTCTGGTGAATCTGTCATTTGAAATCCAGGTCTCTTTGTCTCTATTTTTGTGTTCGAACATGGTTGATTGTATTAGGAGGTTGTGGGACGTAGCCAGGTCGACAAGTCTGGTTCCATTGTCGTTGCTGGTGTCCTGGAGGCTATGCT